CCTCTAAGTCTCCCTACCAATATGACCAAGTTGCTTCAATTTCAACCAGTAATTCTAGGATCAAGCGTTTAGGTGTTCTATCAGAATTGCTTGGCTCTGCTTTTTGCCTACAATCGATTCTCAAATTATACATTTAATCAAATAAGTAAGTTTTCGATCCATAAACTATCTGATAACTTTGCTACAGATGAGAACCACCTTTTTGGATAGATGACGAAGTTAATACAATGTCAACAACAGTCCTTTCCTTCTATCATGAGCTTAGTCACTATTAGTTCAATGCAAAAGGCATTCGAAACAGATACGCTTCTGCATCTTACTGTCTCATGCTGGATATTAAATGGTAGTTTCTATAGAGAAATAAGCCATTCTTATACAACTAAAGGAGGAATAATACCGATTAAGGTGTATTAGATCGCTACAGTACATAAGGAATTAATACAGTCTCTATGCCAATTTTAAGAACAAATGATAAATAATTGTGAATTTAAAAATGGTCATAATTTAGACAAGTAAATAATATGGCCTAAAGCCACAACAAGTGTGATATAGCATTTGTTCCCAGAATCAATAATAAAGAATCTAGCATGATTTAATTTTAACTCATATGGATACTTCAGTTTTTACGTGAGATGAGTTTCAAGCATCCTAGTCTTTTCAAAGGTTGCCTAAATTTTTAATATAAGGATTCATAATATATTCACTATTCACTTAATGGGATTTCCTTACGAGTTTATTTATTGTGCTTCCGAGCTAAGATCCATGTTTTCTTTCTGAGATTTCCCCTCTGCATTTGGGGTGTATCCTTATTTGAGGCTTCAAACTTGCATTTAAGCATTCTTACATATTAGAAATTATGCCATATTTATCAAGAATTCTATCTAAAATAATTTAATAGAGTTTGACTAAAGTCTTTGCTTATATTACTTGGGATATAAGTTGTTGCGTGCTACTAGAACTTTCATATAGCTACTTGTGAAATCTAGCTTAACATAAACCACTCTTATTTATAGCTTAAGTCACGGATGTTATCAAGATTTTCGAAATAAATAATTTCATAGATTTCGGATTCCGCTTATGAATTTTTTACTCTTTGAACTACTCATATATAAAGAATTAAAAATAAACTTCATTCATATTATCTCAATATAAAGCAGAGATTACATATAAAGCACGTAATGGTTGATAAATCAAAATTCTACGTTTACAAAAACGTTGCTAGAAGAATAACACAATGCCGAATTCCTTCATTATTACTCTTCCAACTAAAGCCAACCATGCTAGAGTATACTGTAGGTAAACTTAGACAATCGCGTATATCAGAAGATAGCTTGGCTAGACATTGTTGACACACACAAACTATTGTAAAACAAATAGTACATCACAATTTTTCGATCTCATTCTCAGTGACGAGAAGGGTGCTTGAAATTTAAAAAAATCAATGTAAAAGTTTGATACTGAAGCCGCGGGAACAAATTTGAATAAGTTTAAACCAAAGTTTTGATAAGACTACCTGAGTATGAGGCAACTTAACTTACAATACTATACTTTACTAAGTTGTATTCGCTAGTTATTGTTACTAATCAGACCCTGAGCCGTTAAGATACCTTATGGAAATAATGACAGGAAATCAAACCGTTCACTTAAAATCAGACTAAATAAGGTCAAAAACAATGTATAAAAAGACAACTAAGAAAACAAAATAGATAATATAAAACTCAACGAGAGAACAAATGGGAATATTATTGAATATTTGTTGAGCTCTGAAGCCCAATTTCTGGCAGAGTTTGAATTAGATTCGTGGGAAAAATGAAGTAAATAAGGCTTGTGAGGATGTTTATAAGCTATCTACTTTAGCTTTAACATTGTTGCATTCAAATAATTGTGCATTTAGGTTCAAAACTTTACGATTGTATTGTCGAATACCAGATTTGCTGAGTACTACAGATTTTGACAGGCTCTGTGACTTTAGGTGTGGTAAGGTGTTTTTTTAGAGGTCCTGGACTTGGTCTATGGCAGCAATTGGAAAGCACATTAGCCAATTGATAATGTTATGTTGCAGCTGAGATTCTCTCAGATACTGTGCTCAAATGCTGAAATGAAGCTTATTTAATGAATGCTGCTTTAATATGCTATCAATCCGGACAGCTTGTAATACGCCTCATTTATTAATTAGCGAGGTTAGAGGAAGTCTGTGTGATGTGAGATTACAACCGGCAATAGGGAGAGTTTCTTCCTAGTTACGGAGGGTGTAAAATATGAAATATCGATACAATGTAGTCGAAAATGGCTATGATTGTATAAACTATAACCCAATGACGGACGAAATTATAAAAAAATGCATGAATATGCTAATCGATCACTAGATTATTCCATTTCCAATAACCCAAACATAAATACATCGAGGTCGAAAACCAAAATCGCTGTTGAATAAATTATTTTACAGCAATAAGCATTTAACATGTATAACTCCTCTGAATGTTTCAATGGCAAATTTGAAGTACATATTACGAAACAATAAACTCCTTTTAGAGCCGTTTGGAACTTTGGTTTTGACCTTCGTTTAGTTCAAAACGAATAGATGACTTCATCATAACCCTGATGAAGCCGGGAATTCCTCTATTTGGGTATCTTATGAATGGTGAGCACAAACGAGTAAGATATGTAATATTTTGTTCTAGTTTTCAGGGAATTTTTCGTTATCCATAAGACTTGCATATAAGCCTTCTTGTTTGAAATTGATTTAACACACTCCCAGACCATCGCACAAGTGAAACAACCCGTATTTTTGCTACGCGCATTGCATCCTTTCATGAATATTACCAGCCTTTAATAAAGAGTAATCAATAATTTAAGTGCTTGTTTTAGCATGAGAGGCAGCCTCAGCACTTAATGTTTCCTATTTGTGCTCTAGTAAGTAAACGCCTTCGAAATATAAGATCACTTAATCTTTGGTTATTGAACAACTTTACCTAAAGCGGCAATCTGGCAAAATAGCACTTTATTAAAAAAATGGATAGGCTATTCAAAAATCCCAGTGGCCAGCCCCATTTGACGTGTCCGCATAAGGACTATATAATTACTTCGTTACTTCGGTCGAGAAAAAGTTATCCTGCCTCACGGAAATTTTTATTGACTTTTTAAAAAAAGTTCTATTACTTATAAAATGTGTTCTTAATCTTATCAAGATCTATATTTTCCTTAGTGGAGAATAAAGTCGTGTTAGCAAAAAATTTTGCCATTAGAGTAAAATGATGTTTTTACCAGGAGAGATAGTACGTTCTTGATAAACAGAAAATAGCATTGAAGTTGTTTAACCTTGTTTTGCAACTTGGTCATATTGACAGGAAGACTTAGAGGAACGCATCTTGTTCGGATTTCATAGTATCCATGATAATTTCAAGAGTCTGACCGTGGACTTGGTACATTCTCAGACGTCAGTCAGCCTTGCCATTCTTAGCAGCAGACCACAAAATATCAGAGACAAATGAAATCGATCCTTTGACCAAATGTATGCTAAACACTTGTGGTATCTCTCTTTCTGTCATGGGCTATTCAGCTAACCTATATCCTCGTATCGCCCTTAAATATCACAATTTCCTACCTGTTTAGCTAAACCTATTTGAAATATAGTAACACTCCCCGCTGGTATTCTCATCCCTCCATTCTGCCGAGAGTGTTATTCCTCAATCCTCTCCCCTCAGGCCTTATCAGAGTCCCCTCTTACTTCAATGGATCCTTCCCTTATCTGCCTGTTTCAGCGATTTCACTCCATCTCTGCCACTGTATTCGCGCTACTTTCAAGGCTTTTCTCTACACTCTGCCTCAAGCCTTTGATAGTATGTATATACCACCCTTACTGAGCAATCTCCTAAAGTCTGGCTTCTCAATGGGCATAACAACCTAACTTGACGCCGCAGATTACCTTATCGCTATGCGGTATGTGCACCGAGTAAATCTCGTTGTCAAGCGCTTACTTCATGGATTACGTCTATAGGCAAACTTATCTATTAATAATCAACTATAAATGACCATTTATATAAAGTATGAGCTTGACCACGAGATTTACTTGGTGCACATGCCTCACGGCGAGTTTTTAACCGTGATGGCGTACATTAACCATTACACAAAATTGCACGACTGACCTTGGGTCACAGGACGTTTGTGAATTTCACAGAAGTTCATACATTGTCCAATATCACATTTCCTGGTGGGATTGTCTATGAAGCAAAGTCTTTCGTTTTATACGCAAGTTCTATATATG